TCTGATGTTTTCATTTCATAGTTTCGTGTGCATATATCACTGTTTTATTGATTATGGGTTGAATGACTGAGAACCCGATGTTGTATGTTGTCTTGTTTGGCATAAATTACTGGTTTGCTTGTTTGTGTGTGATTTGATGATGCTGACTGAGGAAAAGGAGAATAAAAGGTTATGTAAATTGATAATTGTATAATATGGTCAGCCTGACTAGATATCCTGGGAGATGGTGGACGGACCGGGTCCGTAGGGAACCCTACCGGGATTGTGGTCTCTCATACCGGACGGGGTATGCAGACCTTATGTGTTTTGGCGCCCATACCAAACAGGGTATGAGGACGGCCTGTTTCACCCTCATACCGGACGGGGTATTGAGGTTTATAGTTTTGGCGCCCATACCGGACGGGGTATGGGGACGACCTTGGAATCTGATTACAAGTGTTAAGGGTTCACGGGTAGCAGGACCCCTATGGATCCCCATGGATACTAGTAGGCTGGTAAATGAGGAAAAATATATTGTGTAATGATTGAAATGCAAAAAGCGTGATAAGTATTATGTTATACAGTTCATATGATTTCATGATGATGATAATGTTATTGCTTTCGTATGTTGTTTTATGAACTTCACTGAGGTAAGTGGATAGTAAAGGATTTTGTTATTGATAAAAGAATTTGTTGTAAATTATGCTCCATTGGTCTTTTTGTGTTTTCCACCCACCTTTACCTCCGTGACGGTGAGATAGTGTGATGTCTTTACTGGTCTAGTGTAGCTCATTCCTTATTTAATCATTTCAGATCAGGAAGACATTGTTCTCGAGCCCGTTCCGCAGGAAGACGGCGAAGGGGACGCCTGAAGACTCCGTAGTTATATTTATAGCTTTTATTTTCGAGTTTCTCTTTTAGTCAGTCTGTTCTTTTATACTTTGAGCACGTTTTTGGTTTTAGTGTAAGGGATGTTAATCAAAATTTTTATTACGCTTCCGCATTTGACCTTTTTAATACACATATTTCATTTTAAAATTCTGGAGCCATTACATAGTGACTGCAAGATCAAATCTTGAGAAAGTTCTTTACCAGTGTGCACCCTAATTTTTGAAGTTCTTCAATAAGACCAATCATGTTCAAAACATCAGGCCCAACTAGAGAGTTAGCAGTCAACTTGGATCCAAACAAAGACTTAGATAACTGGTATCTAGCTGTCTTGCTTTGTGCACCATACATCTTCTTAAGATGATCGATGATTGCACGATGATCCATATCCTCATGTTTCCTCTGGAGTTCAGAACTCATAGAAGCAAGAATAATGCATTTGGCAGTAAGATAATCTGTCAAGTATTTCTGAAAATACTAAATTATGATTTGATTCTCCTAATCAATCAACATATTGAGTATCTCATGAATATCACAATCTATTTTATTTATATTAAAATTAATAATAAATTGCGAAAAGAACTCAAGTAGTGACTGCAAGATCAAATCTTGAGAAAGTTCTTTACCAGTGTGCACCTTAATTTTTGAAGTTCTTCAATAAAACCAATCATGTTCAAAACATTAGGCCCAACTGGAGAGTTAACAGTCAACTTGAATCCAAATAAAGATTTAGATAACTAGTATCTAGCTGTTCTGCTTTGTGCACCATACATCTTTTTAAGATGATCGATGATTACACGAGAACAATTCTTAGATTTCGGTACTAGTTATCAAAATTTGGTCTAACTAATTTGTTGGTATCAAGTATGTCATGCAGTGATAGAACAGACATATTGAGAAATCTAGAATTAAGAAAAAAAAAATGCAATAATATAAGAATATATTTACATATATCATAAAGAAATTGAATTTTATTTAAATGACATTCACCAAATAAATCAAATAATTTTAAAAAATTTATATTTAGTGAAATAAAAGAATCTTCTAACAATATGAATGAGCCTATTGGTAGTCAAGTCGGTTCTCACACAAATTTTAAAGGTAGGTATTGTTACCAATTGTATCCCTATATAACTTACATAAATTGCTTTATACCAGATAATCTCCTAGTTATCAAACCGTTCCTATTAGTATAGTCGAGTCCAATCATCATAACGACAAATAATTAATAAAATTTCATATTTCTCGAATAGTTCAGGCAATTGATATAAAATTGAAATAATTATTGTCATATATGCATTTTATGCAACAAATAATTTTATTTTATTCTCGAACTATAAATCTTCTAGTTGCCAGACCATTCGTTATAAATAAAAATAAATAAATTTATTTATTTTGATGGTAAGCTATATAATAAAATATCATAAACTCAATTTTAAATTAAATAATATAATTATCAAAATAATTATAAAAAACATAATGATCAAATTGCTGATATAAAATTAATATTGTTTAAATTATTTACATATAATTAGTCCTAATAAATTTACATCATATATAATACTTAATTCAAAATTACACAAAAGACAAACATACATGTAATAATTAAAAATTAAATATGATATATATTTACAATTAAAAATCTCAAAAATTATTGCAAATATATAGACAAAATGTTCAAAAGAAATAATTTTTCTGACTCACACATTACATACGCATATACATATATATATATATTGGTGCAGTGGGTACAGCCCCTACCCAATTTTTCTTCATTATATGTATACATAACATATACATCTATTTGGATTCATCCACCCTTTTTTTATTTTTTATTTTTAACAAATAAATATTTAATATATATCTCATATATATATTTATCGTTTTTAATTGTTATTATTTAATAAAATAATTTTATAAACTAATTTAATTTTAAATTAAATTTTATAACAATCTTAATTATTATAATAGCTATACATATTATATTATTATATTAATAATATAATAATCAAAATATTAATATTAATTTTCAATTTCAAAAATAAAAAAATTTAATTTATCTCAAATATTAATTATATTATCGGTGCTAGTAAAGAATATAATAATATTTTATTTAGACCAAAATTTTTATTTATTTGATTAAATTAAATTTTTTAATTTAATTCTTAAATAAGTATAATAATTAATCTATTCAGCAAAAGTCAGAATACTCGTTAGTGTGCGACCTCATAGGTTCAACACTAAACCAATAGCAAATTAGTCAAACTAATTTACTAATTAAGATTGGCATCTAATAACACTTTTTAATGACCAGATAGTATAAAATGCATAATTACTTTCAAAAACCTGATAAAGAAATATGTAATACTTCATTCTGTCATTATTGTTTTGGGTTAACCTTAACATATAATTTAACATATAATTTAACCGTCAAATCCCAATAGATAACTAATTATATTTTATGTCAATTATAATTGATTAATGAATGATATAAGAAACTCTTTTCTTCATTTATTCAACTGTTCTGTCTAATGTCTTAATTTAATCATTATAATAAATGACAACATAGAGTTTAAACTTATTACTCAAATTGACAGATTCCGTTTTGACCAATCATTAATTTTATAACAATTTAATCACATTTAATATCCTTTCAACTACAGTTCTATGATCATAGGTGTTCAGAATCAAAGTATAATAAATGTCTTATCAATTATTATGATGATATCAGGTTTAAGAAAATTTTTACATCTTATCAAAATAAGAGAATACTCTATTGACAGTTTAAGATAATATTAACCATCAAAAATTATTAATTTGATTGGTTTAATGATCATATATCCGTATGCATCATCTATATATGTGATCTAGTTAATGAAGTCAACTAATATTTATCTTATAGAAACTATCACATATATATAAGTCTTACCAGATCATTAATGTCTCATTTTGATGATCCAACGAGTAAAACATTTTAAATTAAATTATTAAAAATTTTACTCTCATTATCAAGATCTCCATCTTGATATAAAACATATAAATTTAATTAAGAACTTTATCACATAAATTAAACAATATGATAATAAAATACTATTGTCATATATTAAAATAAATTATCAAATAATAATGTATACAATATATTATACGAATAATTGAATCGTGGGCATAACACTTATATCCTCAACAACATACAACCCCACCAACTGCGACTACACATCGCCATCAGCCACCAGGTGGCCACACACACATACAACTTCGTCAATTTCGATTACACGTCGCCATCAGCCACCAGATTGCCACACACACATAACCTCGCCAATTTTGACTACACATCATCATCAACCACCAGGTGGCCACACACTCAACCTCGCTAATTTCGGTTACACGTCGCCACCAGCCACCAAATGGCCACACACACACCCATACACCCTCACCGACTCCAATTCCACTCCACCCTCCATTCCCTTTAACCAATTTTTATACCTACACGGTCCCAGTACATCACACCTCCCGCACCTAACTCTACTACCATCACTGAGTTTCACTCGAATCCTTCCCCAAAATTGTCCCTATTAATCGTTTTAAGGTTGAACGATCTCAAGCAGTCAACTCCCCCTTTGCTCTCTTTGTTTTTCCACTCAGAACATCACGATCAAACTTCAATGGAGCCCTAACCAATACACCTGTCGCTAACACAGAAATTTAAGTTCATAATCTGTTTACCTCTGGTTTCCATCTCTCTTAGGTTCAATAGAATTTCTCTACAATCTCGTTGTTTCTAGTAGGTTTCCATCACAATTTCCTGCACTCTCCTCGGCCTCTCTCCCTCTCTTCATCTCTCCCCCTTTTTTCTTTTTCTTTTTTTTTTTCGTACATGAGGTTTTTTTATATACTAAAAGTGATTAGATCTCAACCCTCCGAAAAGAGATGAGATTTAGAACGCTCAACCCATTATTTCTAGGTCGTTACAACAAATTTATTATAATTAAATTCTGTGATATAATCATTACAACTAATAAGAATCTCTTATATTATAGAATTGTCTTATATATAACATTAATATACATATACTTATATATAAATAATTTTTTTTAAAAAAAAAAAGGAAGAAAGAAATTAGAAAAAAAGTATATAAATTATTTTTTATATTTGTTACTTTAGTTGAGACAAAATACTAACTAACTACCTAACTAACTAAAAACTAATTTATTAATTTTTCATATATCAAGATAATTTCCAGGCTTGACCGCCATTGAAATGGAATTTCTTAAGTCTTCCAAAGAACATAACAAGGATAAGGACGAATTTTCCACCATCACTCCACCTTCCCACGAGTCCGTACCATCTATCTTTGCATGTCTCGTCGTGTTTCAGTTGCCTTCCACAGCTATATCCCGTTGAGAATCCAACATTTCCATATGCGCTTCATTTAAATATTTTTTTTAAAAAAAAATTAAATTTATTTACGAATTTTTCAATTTACTTGATTGGCTAATCAACTATTAAGGAAATTAATTAATTTAATTAATTAAATTACCTTATGATTTCTAAAGTGATATTAAGAACACTGAAATTAATTGGGTCTTCCTTCATGCTTTCCCTCTCTGTAATGCAGACAAGGATGATGAAAATGGTCAAGTAAGAGAGTTCTGAAAGCATCAAACTCTTTAATATACTTCTCCCCTTTCCATTTTGACTGTTTGTTGCTTCTTTTTTCTTCTTCTTATAATCACATGTTGGCAAATATGTAGTAGATGGTGGAAGATACCTGCCAACACATTTTTAGTTAGTTCGGATATAAAAAAATATGTTGTAAAATAATAGATTTCGGATACTCTTATTGGTCGTATCATATTAGATTTTGTTATTTAATGTCAAAAGCTGTCCGGAGTGATCTAAAAATTTCATTTGTATGTTAAGAACAATTTTCTATTAAAAATATCGTACTTTTTTTAGGATAAAAAAATGAATAAATTGACTGAATTTAATTTTTTTTTTTTAAAAATAATGTAGTATATATATAATTTTGATATAGAATAATTCTTACTATAAAGTTTAATTATTTTGATGGAATTGGCTATAATAAATAATAGCTTTAATTTGGGTTGTTGAAAATAAAAGAAAATTCTGATACCACAATAATTTTGATTCTATACTTGGCAAAATATTCTTACTAAATCTTTCAAAAGAATAAATTCTAATGGCAAAAATATATCATTAATTGACTTGAATAAGTTTCATAAATAGATTAATATATCTTTTGAAGTAACATATCAACAAATTTTGGTAATTAAGGTAGATTTTTGTTACCTGATCATCTGAGAGTCTGAAATGGTATAGAATTTCATGTGGGTAAAAACAAAATTATTATTTACAAACCAAATATTTTTTAACCAACAAAAATTTTGAAAAAAATAATATCTCATCAAAAAATTAAGCTGATACAAATGTTAAATTGCTTGGAGAGTTTGTGCTTGAAGACTCATTTTGAACAAACTAGGCCATTTATATATATATATATATGTTTGAAACATTTTATCCTTTTAGAATATGTAAGAAATATCCCATATATATTTTTAGATATATTGTGTGCGGACAAAAGTATGTTAATGGAGATATACTCACATCATGACAATGAAGATCACCAAGATAGCTGGAGCAATGGTGGAGAGGTCAACAATGGACTCACCAGCATGTCTCGAGTTCATTACCTGAAACAACGACGCCACAACTTTCTGATACGGACTCAGTCCCTCCAGCCCCAGCGAATTCCACTCCATGGCTAAGAAAACCATCAGCTGCACCAACACGAACCCACCAATCGTCAACCCTAGAAGACAACACCGCCACCCAGATAACAAATATTCGTAATCCATCTCCCTCAAAATATAACTTAGCTCAACTCGTTTCATCATCTTCTCCAAAACCCAGATCACAACGCGCAGACTAACCGGATACAGCGTGTTCCCGAGAAGAACCTGTGGCATCAGAAGCCATAGCAGGCCCGAGTTGCTCCTGAAAACAATCATGTTATCGTTGGTTGGAACGAATCCGCAGTTGGCGAAGGTGGAGACGATGACGAAAACGGAGAATGTGAGTAATGAAATGTTTTTGGTTTTGAGCACGCGTCTCGCACTCGGGACAAGACTCATGTACATGAACACTGAGTTGAAACCGAGTATATGAACAGCTAGAAGATAACCCAGTACGATATAAGCTAGAAACTTTGTAGAATTATACTTTAAACCATCGTTTTCTGCAGCTTGATGATCGAACTGGTTTTGAATGGGGTGAGAACAAGAGACCAGATCCACCTCAACGCAGTAGTTGTCATACTGATCAGTGTTTTTTTCGGCAGCCGGCGGGAAGTTGCCGGAGGTGTAAGCAAGTTTAAATAAAATTTGAAGAACGGACACGAAGACTTCCCCGCCCAAAAACATCAAAACAGTGATGATAACGAGTTGGAAGTTGGAGAAAACTTCCATTTCCACGGTGGACATGCTCGAAACGGTTGTAGCAGAGACGGAGGTGAAGAAGACATCTAGATCAGACGGCGGCCAGCTGGGAGATGAAGATCTGGGATTTGAGAGCTTGAGAACAAAGTAGCCTATCAAGGAGATGGCCATGAAATAAACAAGCTGAACCCAGAATGGATTCAGCTGGAAGACCATGTAACGGACTGCGACACCCAAACGCAATTTCTGGATTAAAAAATAAAATTTAGTGCGCGAGTAGCTCGAAAAGTTACTTACTTTGTTACCTATAACCATTCTAATTAATTTAGAGAAGGAAAAGGAAAAGCCGGGTAGCTTATCACTCTGGTTGCCGACAAGTATATCACCGCACCTATCTATTTATAAAGTATTCAGCACCATGTCAATTGTGAGTACTGTGTCTGTGCGCGGGAGAGAGAGAGAGAGAGAGAGAGAGAGAGAGAGAGAGATGGAGGGAGAAGGGAGAAGTTTTCTCTCTAACTTTTTGGAAGGAGTGGGATTTTACCTGTAGTGGACTACGAGCTATCTAATCACCGTCCATGGATATGCGATAGGAGTTGAGTTGGGGCGGAAGTGATCCATTATTCAGATAGGTATGTATGTTAGATTACATACACTACGTATTTCGCTAAATTATTCGTACACGTGGGGCTATTTTCATCTTTTCTATGGAGGAAATGCGTGGGCACGTCATAATTATTTTTTAATAAATTATTATTGATATTTTATAACACAAATTTCATATATTATAATAAGTAATTAAATGTCACTTCTAACGAATAAATAATATTACAATATAAAAAAAAAAGTTAAAAAAATAAAACCATTGAATCAAAATTATATCTTTTTTAGTACAACAATTTGGAATCATTTCATCAAATGTATAATAATTGCATGGCAAGACATAGAGCATTGTAAGGGTTTCCAAAAAAAGAGAATAAATGAAAGATTTGAGATGATCTGCACAGAAAAAAAAAAAAAAACAGACATATATATCATGTACACACAGTAATTTTCATAACCCTAAAAAAAATGTATACACGCACATAAGCAAGCATATATAGTCCACACGAATTTCGATAATATATATATATATATTTGAGATAAAGCCAATCAAATGATACGATCCAAGCACACACATAAATTTAAGGAGGGCATATCTCTATTATTGACTGGACATTATCAAAATCTTCCGGATCGAAATTACCAAATTACCCATCACATATTCATTATAACTCCTTTTAACATATGAAGTAGTTGAGGGTAAAAAAGAGATTCCAGTAATCGATGTCCTCCCTATAAACATGTTGGGTCAGGCTTGGCAGACTTTCCTCCTACTTCGGGTCGTGTACCAATTCCGTCCGGTGTTCACCACTCTTGTCCTCCTACGGTCACACGTTCAAGCACATCACGTCAACTCTTACCCACCCAGCCTGTTACATGCGGAAAGTGTTATTGGACTTATAGTTTTGCCCTTTTTTTTTTTATATACAAACTTAATATATTTTTATTTGAGTTTTTATATAGTAAAAATTGTTGTATTATTAAGATTATATTTATGTAAATATAATTTAATAATTTGCACTAAGTTTATTAAGAAAAAAAAAAGAAGAGTGCTTTGATAAAAATTAGAGAATTGTAATTTTATCATATTTGAAAATTAAATGTTCAAAAACTATCATAAATAGCTTTTAATATAATTTTAAAAAATCACAAACACATTAACGTTTTAGTGGTTAAGTAATGAGCTATTAGTGTCTATTGAGTTAATTTTTAAAAAAAATATAAGAACTTTAACTTTATTTGATTTTTCGTAATGCTTGAATTTGATCTATACAACATTATTTAATATATAATTGTTCATAACAAGTAAAATATATAAAAACGGATAAAAATAGTAACAGTGATAATATTTTCTATAGACATTATAAAAAAATTATCGTGATATAAATTTATGTATATAATTGAGTTATCGCTTTTATTCTTTATGTCAATTATGTTTATAGTTTTCTCTCCAAATTAGATTTTATAAACTTATATTAATTCATAATTTAAGTTCTCGTTTATTTTAAAGTTCAATTAAAATAAAATATTTTACAATTAGATACCTAATATAAAAATTATAAGATTATAAATATGTCTAAATATATTTTAATATGTGAATAGAATTAATTGATATAATTCTCATATGTATCCTCTAACATTTTTAATCACAGCATGCTTTATACGCGCATATTATCATAAACTAACCCATTAATTGCTATCAATCACTATATTTGTACTTGATCAAATTATCTTTAATTATTATTCAAATAGAATACATAATTCGAGGTTTAAATGCGCCACTTTCATCAAATTACAGCAACTGAAAGTGGGAAAACTTTGTTTTCCTCTAAATTTTTTATTAGGTGATTAATTTACTATGTCTTTGAGACAAAATGTGACTGATTGCAAAAAGACAAACCATGGCTGTGCCAGGTAGCTTCACTGCAATATATTTATTTCATATTATTTTTCGATGAAATGAAATGTAATGTATTCACTAATTTAGTCTTGAAGCAGTTATAGTGTGCAGATAGTCCATATTTGGATGTGTATATTAAGTTTAATTATGATATTTCAACTTTTTTAATCACGATATCAAAACATTTTAAATCATAAAGGCCGTAGGAATTGACTCCCACGCCATCCAATTATGATTAATAATAACAATAAAGCGAGAAAGGAAAGAGAAATTAGACCATGCACGCACTCTCAATAGCAAAATCATTGACACCCAATAATTAATTCATTCCTAATCCTAATACTTCATTATTTGTGTTTCAAATTTTCATTTGGTATAATAAATTAATTTTAATCAAATTAAATATTAAAATTTTAATATGTTAATAAAATTACAGTGTATTACATTTATTGAATAAAACATTCTATAATACCCAGTCAACCTTAATTGATCAAAAAATTAATATAATATTTTTAAAAATAAAATAAATAATATATTTATATTTAATTTAAATGCTAATTAGATCCTTATAAAACTAGATGTAAATAATGGACCAAAACCACTAACGAAGCCTCACCTTATGTGTCACCGTAGGAGTCGTTGGAGAGTACAAGAAAGTTGGGCCCAACCTGTCAAGTGGACCAGAAAGAGGAATGAGCCTAGCCCATTTAAATTTTTAAAAAGGTAAAATTTTAACTATTCTCCTATATTTTAATATAATTCTGACAAATTAACAAGTTTATTGAGATTTTTAGTGTAATTTTAACGAATAATATATGTTAATTTTATTGAGCTACCCAAAATTTCATATTAAATTTGTTCAATCACTATTCACGTTGAATTTATAATTAAAATTAAATATAGTAAATCAAATATATATACTTAATTTAAAAAAAAAATTCTTATAAAAAATCACAAATTTAATAAATCATACCAAACAGCAAGCAATATGTTGCTTTTCTAGTCAAACTTATATTTTTTCTGATTTTCTTTTTCACTTGTATTGTTTATAAATTGCACAAAAAGGAAAAGAAATCGGTGATTGGGCCTTGTAAACAATTAAATGACAGTCGTTTCACGGTATCATGCCCTTTTATGTACTTCTACTTCAACGGCCGAGATCTTTCTTACGACCACAAGACACATCTCAACTGTTGAACTTCGTACTATATATTGTAGGAAAGCTGGAAAACCCTAACTTCACTATCGACCCTCGTATATATAGCTGAGCGAAGGAAATTCAGGCGGACTCTATTCCCTCGCCCCCATCAGATCTCATCTCAGCCAGGGAATCGAACTTGGTGAGTTGTCTCTATTTGCTTGTTGTTCTTGTTCTCGTCTCATCTCATAGTCTTTACAAATAGATGTGGTAGATTTGAGTCATCTCATCTTTCTAAGCTTAGTTAACAATGGTTTTGTTTATGCCTAGAAACCTTGATGGAACGTCTGTACCTATGCCTAGTTTCACATATAAAATGCATATAAATATTTTACTTGTGAGAATGAGCGAAGAAAATGAGGTGGAAAATGTCCTGTGTTTCCTGTATGTTTTACTTGTGTGTTGTTTTTCTTTTCTTTTTTTGGTTGTATAATTGAGGGTTTGAATTAGGTATAATATTTCTTATAGTATCTTCTATTCTGTTTGTTCACTGAGATACAGATATCTTGTTAACTTTTTTTTTCCTTAAAAACATGATATCGGTGTTTTCTTTCAATGTTTAAACGTTTTATAACACCCCGGCACACGGATGATATTGAGATTAGATAAAGGGATTTTTTATTAATTTGGAATTTGCACTTGCGGGTCTGTATGCTTCTGTTTGTCTCTGCGCTTGCATGTATTTGTGTGTGTACAATTGTATCTATTTTTGCGTCCGGATTGCCTGAAGTAATTGGTTCAGTTCTTAAGAAATTTTTGGTTTTGCAAAAATGTAGGCTGAGGAGCGGATGTCTGTCCGTATATGTTATTATGTTTATTTTTACTCAAGTGTTGTTACTTAAAAGGTGCATGTTTATATTATGATGTTATATTATGGAGATTTCTCTTTGTGATGTAACCGGAACTATAAGATGTTGGTTCTTTTATGATGCAACTGGCCTGTGCTAAGAGAGTTTTTAGAATCAAATTCTTGCCCAGGTATTTTTTCTGGTATGTGAAATGTTATGACTATGGAACTGGACGTATTTAGTGTTTCCCCAACTTCTGAAGATTCATGATAAAGTTATATGGTTAACATAAACACTGTCTGATTATTCATAATTTTCCTCCATCCATTTGGAAGAGAAGTGACAGTGTTATTCGTGTCATGTTACTCTCTCTTGCTACCATTTTCGTAGGTTTCATTGAAAGAGAATTGGTTTCTTCATTGTGGTTTTACATTATTAGATTGGTTATTTCTTAAGATTGGCTTTTTATTGCTTCTAATCTTCAACCTTTTTTTTTAAGTTTGTTCTTCTTAGGTGTGTCTTACTTTATTGTTTTCTGATGGCAATGCTTTGTTTACTATTGGACTCTGAAATTTGACCATTTCTTTGTGAAACTAGAATTATTTTAAGTATTTGTTTTTTCATTTTTCAGAGATGGCTGAAGCCAAGGCTGTGGTTCCTGAGTCAGTTTTGAAGAAGAGGAAGAGACATGAGCAATGGGCATTGGAGAAAAAGCAGGAAGTTGAAGCTTTGAAGAAGAAAAATGCCGAGAACAGGAAGCTCATCTACAAGAGAGCTAAGCAGTATGCTGAGGAATACCAGGAACAGGTACATGTTATGCCTTTCAGCTTTGAGATTTCATAAAAAATGTTCAGTAAGTGGCTTCTTAGTTTATATTAGTGATTTACTTCTATTATATTCAGGAAAAAGAGCTGATCAGATTGAAGCGTGAAGCAAAACTCAAAGGAGGATTCTATGTTGATCCAGAGGCTAAACTTTTGTTTATCATTCGCATTCGAGGGTATGTTTGTCAATTACATTAATATTTACTGTAGTTGGTGCAACAAATTTTTGCTGAATCATTCTATTTTATTTTGGGATTATCAGTATTAATGCCATGCACCCAAAGACAAGGAAGATTTTGCAGCTATTGCGTTTGAGACAGGTAGCTAATCTTTCATTTTGACATTATGTTGGAGAATGTATAGATTAACACATTTAATAGTACTACTTTCTTTTGATTAATGTATTTGCATTCCATTCGTCAAATACCAACATCCTGTTGAAGGTCAAGGGTAAATACACCTTTTTTATGGTTGTGATAGCTTATATTCAATGTAAATCACTTAGTTGGTAATTATATTTCTTTGAGTACAAGTTTTGAAGCTCAGTTGTCCATTGCAGATCTTCAATGGTGTATTTCTGAAAGTTAACAAGGCAACTATGAACATGCTTCACAGGGTTGAACCTTATGTGACTTACGGGTCTCTCTCTCTCTCTCTCTCTCTCTCTCCCTCCCCACCCCTTCCCCTCTGAATTGTTGTATTCGTCTATTATGTCTGCTTATAGTCTCACCATGACCACCCTGACTTAGGAGCTTTTTTTTAGATACCCCAATTTGAAGAGCATTAGGGAATTGATTTACAAGAGGGGCTTTGGGAAATTAAACAACCAGAGGATTGCTCTCACTGACAATTCCATCATCGAACAGGTTTATGCTGTTTATGTTCTCTCTGTCATTAAATGACAACTCTGTTTCTCATTTTGTCACTCACTTTGAACAATGTAATTAACAGGGTTTGGGCAAATACGGCATCATCTGCGTGGAGGATCTGATCCACGAGATCATGACAGTTGGTCCTCATTTTAAGGAAGCAAATAACTTCCTGTGGCCCTTCCAGCTCAAGGCTCCCTTGGGTGGTCTGGAAAAGAAGAGGAACCACTATGTTGAAGGAGGAGATGCTGGAAACCGTGAAAATTACATCAATGAACTTATAAGGAGAATGAATTAGGTGTGCGGTCATTGTTTAGATTGAAGTCTGAGATTCTACAAAGCCAGATGAATTTTGATCTTAGTTTGAGAATTGAACAAGTTTTACTTTTCCATAGTAGTTGGAGATTGGAACGAGTTTACTTTTGGATAATTATGTTATGGAGTTTGTTTTACTTTTTTGTTGCAAAATTTCAAATATATGTTTGTTGTTTTTTTGTGGCTGCTGGCAAAATATTTTCCACCGAGTGCCTAACAAGATTATAACATACAAGGCCGAGAAGATTAACGATCAGGGACTCCACTAGACTGACTTTTTGTGGAAATGTTGTTGTGTGTGTCCCTTTGGGAAGTCTGCTCTCTTCAGAATATATATATATATATATATATGTATATATTTGTTGCACTGGAGAGTTGGGGGTGTGTTTGAAAACCTTGTTAGGTTAATATATTTAGAGTTGGTTTACCGTCATTACCTCAAGCGTGTTTTTATTATTTAAAAAAATAAAGGATATACATATATATATATATATAGAAATTGGCCGACCTTAGATTCTTCTAGTTAAATGATTATAGCACCCTGTGTCATTTCTGCGTCCTGGTAGATTATGGTCCCTGCTTGGCGCTCGTGATAGTGCCGCCTCTCCCTGAATCTCTGCAAATCGTGACATGATGGAATGAATCAGCACAAGCACAAAGGGCATCGATGTTAAAATTCTACCATTTATTATCTGAACTTTAGATGTGGTTTGGTAAAAGAAAATTATTACAATCTTATCGGTTAAGTTGATTTTCTACAGAAATGATAGAATCTCTTTGGTAAATTGCAAGTATTGCATAAAATGGACAATAAATCTTATAATTTAACTTAATTTGAATTAAAATTTAATTTATTTTTTTTTTTATGATTTACTTAAATAAATTCGAAATTAAATTAAGTTAAATATTTGAGTAACTTATTTTCATTTGGTTGATGGGAGGAGAATACTTACATAAATCATTTTAAGAACAAGTATATATATATATATATATATATATTTTTTTTGTAGTTGTTTGAAATTCTAATATACTTTTGAAAAGATTTTATTCTTAATTTCTTTAAGGACGTTGAGATTTAAATATTGTGATATATATATATATATATGTTTTGTTAATCGATAATAATTTAAAAAAAAAAAAAACACTAAACATTTTCTTGTAATATGAATTCATGAAAAGTTGAACGGACTCATCCCTAACAAAATTCGATAATTTTTAACTTTACTCTTATGAAAAGGGATTAATGTAAATTTTCATTTCAACAAGTAGGTAGAGAACAAAGAAAAAGGTCTGCATAACGTGTCAACAATTTGGCGCATCCAACGTCAGTTACTTATTCCACGTGGCTACCTACAAACAATTCGGACAGACTTCAGATTTTTTTCTATTTGATTTTATTTATAAAACGAGACTTCAATTCTTCCTACTACGTTAATTTATAACTCGGATAATAGAGAGAGTGATGTAGTTTATAATTTAGCTGGGCATGGGTTTGACTCGGGAAATGGTGAAGTTGGCACTCAATCTCTGCCCTACTTACACTGCAAAATTGACATTTACTTAAATTGTCTTTGATTTTTGGGATTGATTCCTGTTGGACATAAAAATATTGACTTAAAAAAATAAACAATTAATTTTTACTAATAAAAAATATTACGATTATTTTATAATTAATAATACTATTTTATGTATTTTTAAGTTTTTTTTTTTTTTTTAAAAAAAAAGATAGTAATAAAATAAACTTGTCATATAAAAAATTACTTTTTAATTATCTAAGCACTCTGATTTTTATATTGTACAAATAAAAAAATTAAATCTAAATGTTTAAAAGTACTCATAAAATGTAAGACGAGCAGTCCGGAAACATTTTTATGGTAAATTATTAGCATTGAGCCATGGCCAGTGGAGAAGAAAGAACACGAGTTACTACAAACCAAGACAAGTTCTGTACGCAAACATTGCATATATAAAAAATACACGGCGGAACATATACATATATATATATATATTTATTATAGGCACGAGCAGGCCTTGGATTTTGCTGTTGGCCTGCATATAGAGCTATCCATTTCTTGTCAACAATTTTCTTTCTTTCTTTGTGACTTATCACCTTTCTCTTTTTCTTTTTTTTTTTTTTTTTTTTAAATATTAGTTATTAATTATTACATATTTACTTTAGTTTACCAAAAATGTGATTAAAAGTTACTATATTAAAATAATATTTACAAGAAAATTAATAAATTTACGAAAATTTTAACTATTTCACTCTGAATAAAAAATGGAACTAAAAACGACACCCACTAATAATCTCATGCAGAAGACTTTTGTTGTCACCTTTCTGTCACCTTTGCGGTTCGTTAGGAGCTACTAATTAAACTCTCTAGTGCCAAAACTTGGAATTAATTAAAAACAGTGGCCGGCCACACACATATATATATATATATATATGTATATTTACATATTTCTATACACACGCACACACACTCTTTTATTCTTCATATTGCTTTTGTCTTCAACCTACATTTTGATTCTCCCTATCCCAAAATTATGTATGCAGACATTTTAATGATCATATAACAGACGACTTAATTAGCAAATAATACATATATAGCTGAACATATTTGACCATGGTGGATCAGTACTCTCTGGTTACCACTAGACACCCATTTCCTGCAGTCATCATCCTTGTGATCACCTTTTCCATGGCGCCTTCTCTTTGTACGCCCGCAGATCAAATCACTTATTGTTTAAATCTTCACAACATAAAAAATTTTACCACTTTGCCAAACACCCAAAACGATTCCAATTCAGCTTATTACAAACTTCTCAACTTCTCAATCCAAAACCTCCGCTTCGCCGGACCCAAGATCTCGAAACCTCTCGCAATAATCCTCCCGGAAAGCGTGGAGGAGGTCGCAAACAGTGTTCTATGTTGCAGAGAAGCTTCGTGGCAGATCAGAGTAAGGTGCGGAGGACACAGCTACGAGGGAACTTCGTCAGTCGGTGGAGACACGAACAAACCATTCGTGATACTCGATATGATGAATTTGAACCAAGTGGTTGTAGATATGGAAGATGAAATGGCGTGGGTCGAAGGCGGTGCAACGCTGGGGGAGATATATTACGAAATTGCCATGGCGAGTCAGGAGCTTGGATTCTCAGCCGGGTCTTGCCCAACTGTCGGCGTTGGTGGGCACGTCACCGGCGGTGGGTTCGGGTTCTTGTCGAGAAAATACGGCGTCGCAGCCGACAATGTGGTCGATGCACTTCTGGTTGACTCAGAAGGCGAGTTGTTAGACAGGAAAGCTATGGGGGAAGACGTGTTTTGGGCCATTAGAGGCGGCGGTGGAGGTGTCTGGGGGGTTATCTACGCCTGGAAGATCAAACTGCTGAAAGTCCCGCCGACCGTGACGAGTTTCATCGTGTCCAGGCCAGAATCAGAAGGGTTTAACGTTGCAGAGTTGGTGGAAAAATGGCAACATGTTGCTCATGATTTGACCGACGATTTCTACTTATCGTGTTTCATGGGAGCTCATTTGCCGGAGACGATGACCATTGGGATGTCGGCGACGTTCAGAGGGTTCTTTCTGGGTCGAAGAACCCAAGCCATATCAATTCTCAACAAGGAATTCCCTGAACTACGCGTGGAGGAAAATGATTGTACAGACATGAGTTGGATCGAGTCAGTCCTCTTCTTCTCCGGCCTCCCCACCGGAGCCACCATATCGGAGTTGAGAAACAGGTATTTACAAGGCAAGGGATATTTCAAGGCGAAGTCCGATTACGTCAGAACTCCGGTGACTTTCGCCGGGATAAGGACGATGATGGATATTCTCGAGAAAGAGCCAAAAGGATACGTGATAATGGATCCATACGGCGGAATAATGAAGAGAATAACGAGTGACGCCATAGCTTTTCCTCACAGAAAAGGTAACCTATTTGCTATTCAGTACCTGGTGGAGTGGAAGGAAGAAGACGATGAGAAAAGAGAGGATTACATGGATTGGATGAGAGGGTTTTATGAATCGATGAAGCCGTATGTATCGGGAGGTCCAAGAGCTGCTTATGTTAATTATATGGACTTAGACCTTGGCCAGCTTCAGCCGCCTGTCTCTGCCGCCATTGATGATCTGAATTACTCTTACGAGGATACTGTTGAGATTGCGAGAGTTTGGGGTGAAAAATACTTCTTGAAAAATTACGATAGACTGGTTAGAGCTAAGACACTTGTCGATCCAACTAACTTTTTCACCAATCAACAGCCAATTCCGCCATTAAATATGGGTTCTTCTCTTCGGAAAATTGGAAGTGATCATGGTGATGATCACGAAAGAGATAAAAGTTCATGATGTCATTTTCACCTACTACCAAAAATATATTCTATCATATATATTGTCAATCAACCAAAATAATATATACCATCTGAAAATACCATTTTATTTTTAACTCTTAAAAATTTTCTTTTCTGTAATTTTTTCTTGTCTTGGTTCCTCTAAAAATACCAATCATATATCCCTTAATTGATATTATATGGTTGACATTTTTTTTTTATTTTTCTTTATGAATTATGGGCCTAATTTGACCATGGGTTTCATTTTAAAATTCAATTGCGTTACTTTTTTAAAAAATTAATTGTATTATTATTAATATATAAATTACATTTAATTAATTATTTTAAATATATAAATTTTTATTTAAAAAATTATACTTTTTCTCATATTTAGATCCTCAAACAACTGGGTATATTTCTAACCTCAAAGAATAAATCTTTTATTTATTCATAGAGTCAAAATTTTGCTGATATATATATATATATATATATACACACACACACACACACACACTTTAAAATACTGTTTTAAAAATATACTCCAAATAAAATTTAGTACATATATTTTCTCTCTGGAACATCTATCTAGTTTGGCTGATCTATAATAATTCTAAATTCGGATTTTCTAACCCAAAAAGAAAAAAAAGTTCAATATTTCTGGAAACGACGCCGTCGGCTAGAATGGTAGAGAACACTGAAAGTATTAGAGATTGGGATCGAGTGGTTCATATAACTAATGAAAAAATATTGTTCATATAAAAAAAGAATCATGAAAAAGAAAATCAATTAAAAGAAAAACAAAGCCGCTGGTAAAAAGCTTTATTTAGGAAGCATGGCGTGCCTGACTAGTACTTCAAATCTATTCAGTAAAACCCCCCTTTCATATTCTCTCTTCACAGCAAGATCCGGACTTGTACGTTCAACACCGGCGGCGATAAGAGCAGAGTCGATGGCCACCGAGAAATTGGGAATCACGGTCCACACCAACCCTCCCGAGTCCATACTCACCGAACTCGGCGTCCGAAAGTGGCCTAAGTAAGCCAGCATTTTCTGTTCATTTTTTGCTATAGTCTCTAATTCGTAGACCAAGGTTCTTTTTCCGTCTTTATTCCGTTTGTTTCTGAGGAAACCCTTTTCGGTTCCCTGGAATTTCTGTTTAAGAAGATACTATGCTTTCAATTGAAAATTCAATTTGCGTTTTCGCTAGTTTTAGCTTGTATTGCTGTAGATTTCTGATATCTAGGGATGGATTTATTCACAATCAGCTAGTCATCAGAGAGCTTGTTAACTCTGTTTAAGTTCCTCCTTTGTCTATCTGATGAGAAATGAACAAAAAAGATACTGTTTACATTCAGAGAACCACTATGTTTGGTGACTTAGGTCACTTGAAATCTTTACATAATGTATGGAAGTTTTCGGTCTAATCCTTCAGCAAATTTGCCATCTTCCTTATCTGCTTTTTTTGTTTTCTCTATTTCTGTGTCTTCAATGCTTATTAGGTTGGGTTCGCTTCATTATCAGTTCACTTTCTTGGTAATGTCTACTTTTAATTTTCGCATTAATCTTAATATGCATTATTAGAACATAATTTATTGTAGAATGAGTTACCACTATCTTAGTTGAAAAGAAATTAAATTCCCACGATCAAGTTCAAAGTGGTGATTAATTCTCATCATCAAAGAATATAACGCTGAGATGATGTTAATTCAAACACAATATGTAAATGATAACCTAATCATGTATATTGGGACTAATATGAGAAATTAAATGTAAGAATTTACTAGGAATTGAATGGTAACTAAACCAACCGCAACCTTTGGACTTCTCGTTGATCAAAGCTATGGTACACTGTTTTGGGTTACTCCTCAGTAGCATGTATAGACAGAAACCAGACTTGAGTCATGTATTCTAAGATTTAAGCTATGGTTGACCTATTGTAAAGAGCTGCTATGATCCTCATTGAGGGGGGATGTAGGCATATTGTAGATAGCTAATCAGATGGATTATGACACTCAAAATATGCAAGAAAGTCAGGTGAGTGTAAGAACGTTCCCGAAATTTATTTAAAAAAAAAGAATGTTCTCGAAATAGAAAAAAAATACAGTTGGTTGCTTCGAATTTTTGAGTTAACTGGATGATATGCTACGTCTACCTAAATGTGTATTTTCAGGATTGAAAAACAGAATAGCTCTGTTAATTGCAGTGAAGCATGTTAGCGATTCCAAGTGCATATAAAAATAGAGATGAGGAAGGTGCAGGTACCAGCCTGTTTGATTCATGTTTTACTCAATTCCTTCACCTTAATTATTTGATCTTCAGGACTGAATAATAGTTTTTTTCTTTTTTTTTTTTACATTTGATTCATAATAAAATCAATATGTCGGTGTGTTGAATTTTAAAGTGATAGACTCCTGTTTCTGGTAGATGTACAAAATCATCTCGCGTGAATTACATGAAATTAAAGCACTACTTTAGTTCCTAAGGCAGTGTTCGGTGTTTTTTTGACCTCTCATTTAATGAGTGTAAATATAAATTTATTTGTGTGAAATTGAGAATATGACAGAGTTGGTTTAATTATGATCAACTATATAAATTATAACTAAATTTTATATATAAATAATTAAATTTAAAAACAGAATGAGAACAGAATAGACTTGAACCAAATGAAGAGTAATTCTTACATTATTCCTGTTTGGTAAATTAGTATTCATATTTTATTTCTGTCACTTTGCTTTGTGCTGTTTTGTGGATGTTAGATCTGATTTTAGTACTCTATCGTGTGCTATGTTTACTTTAATCTTGGGTCTGGTCTGCCCTTCCTGTGTTGGGTCTTTTTACGCTTTTTGATGGCGTTGAAGATCTGTTGTGTTGTTTATCTAAAGCTCCTATTCTATGTGTTATTGAGGCGTTTTTTCCTTACATTATAATGCAGCATTTTTACTGTAAAACGCAAGAATATGTTCAACCAAAAGTGGCTTTAATATAAACCCCTTCCACTTTGTCATGCATTTCTCGTCCTTTTATGAGAAGATTAGCTGTTTCTGGTAATAGTCCAAGGTTGAGCCTTTTGTTTATACCACAATCTTGGTGCGAACTCCTTATCGTTTTAGGGAATTGGAAAGATTTATGTGATCATGGTGTGATCAAACAGGTGGGGTTGCCCTCCAAGCAAATTCCCATGGACATACACATCCAAAGAGACTTGCTATCTGCTAGAGGGGAAAGTAAAGGTTTATCCAGATGGTTCAGATGGATTTGTGGAGATTGGTGCTGGTGACTTAGTTGTGTTCCCGAAAGGAATGAGTTGCAGTTGGGATGTTTCAGTTGCTGTGGACAAGCACTACAACTTCGAGTAATGAGTTTTGGTTAAGTCTTTTTGTCTTAATTCCATGTATGAATAAGTGTAAGAACTCTCAAACTATATATGAACCATGTAAAGTTTGGTTAATGTCATGAGGGTCTGAAGCTGCCATTTCTAATTTTCACTTGGTAATGGAAGATAGTCATGTCTGTTCAAATGCAAACCATTTGCCCAAATGACTGAAGCAATCCGGTAAGCCTGAAGGAGATTGATAGGAGCTTTAAGTCTAGGATATATCTGTTAAACCTCCAAAGGCTAGGATTACACTGTGGCTGTGTGCAGGTTCTATTGATATAAAAATTATGTTCGGACAATTGTGTGAATACTAGTCGAGTAGTATACGGCAAAATAATGGAATGGAAATAGTAGTTTTTAAAGGAAATAAAGAAGATTTTTTTTTATAAAAAAATTAAAATTGAAAAAAAGAAAAAAAATAAAAAGATTTTTCGAAGAGACAGTACTCTGACTATTAATTTGACCAGTGAGTGGTGAAAAGTTTTATAATTTATTTATTAAAAGATAATGAATATGAAAAAAAAAAACCTAAAATTTAGAATTATTGATATAATAATAAACTATGGGAGTTAATACCCAAAAAAAAAAAAGAAGACTTAATTAATGCTAAAATTATTCTAAATAGAGGGTGGTGATCAATTTAATAATTTGAAAAAGTAAAAAAAAATAATATATGAAATCAATTTGATTCTATAAATTTGATAATTTTAGAATTATTGGTCACCGTCTTCTATCATTCTGTATATATATATATATATAGATATATATTTGGACAATTGTCCGAATAGATCGTGTTTCTCTTAATGTGGCAGAGAGAGAGAGAGAGTGATTTAGATCAAATCAGATCCTTACAATATAATTTGCAGTTGTTGACCAATTAGTAAGGTTAAGCAATAATTACTGATGAGACAGTTAACTTAATTAAGCATAATCTACATATTAACTAAAACTTAAAAACCCAAATTTCATCTCTCTCTCTCTCTCTCTCTCTGTCTATATATATATATATATATCCATTGTAATTATTAAATATTTTTATTAACTTTGGCCGTCCAACCTTAGTAGTCCAAAATATAATATACCATGACCTGAAAAACTAATTTAAGAGTTAATCATACATCAAGCAGAAATTCGAGGGATGAGAGAGAAATTTACGGAATAATTAAAGAAAAAAAAAATTACTCAGTCAACGTTAAAAGAAATTACCCTTGCTAGAGAAGTAAAAATAGATTTAAAAATAAATAATAATTTTTTTTTTTTGACGTGACAAATCCAGAGTTGTTCTTACACTGGACATTAGATCATTTTCATTCCTGGTTTTTGTACTCGCAGAACTAGAGAAGAGAAAAGTATACTAGTTGTGAATACGGAGAAACGAGAAGAAGACGAAGACGACAATGGCGTGCGGGCCGTTGATAGTGTGCTTTGGGGAAATGCTTATAGATTTTGTGCCGGACACAGCTGGTATTTCGTTGGCCGAATCAACTGGTTTCCTCAAAGCACCGGGCGGGGCACCGGCTAATGTCGCCTGTGCCATCACTAGACTTACCGGAAACTCTGCCTTCATCGGCAAGGTACATCAACTTTTACTCCTATATACATATACATATACATATATATATATTTATGTGTTTGTACATTATATATAACATTACCTAGTGCTTTAATAATTCAACTTGTTGCCTTATGATTAAAAATCATGGAGTTTCCAAGATATTAAATATTTATATTATACATCAATAGTGATTGATATGTAATCTTTAATTAATTTATTAGGTTAATTTGATAGACTTCAGTAGTTAAATTAGACTTTATACATTTAAAACATGAGATTTTTAAGCAGCTAGACACTAATAATTATTTTATGTAAAAAAAAATCACAAAATTTGTCAAGTACTTATATTATAATTGATAGTAATTAATTTATAGTATTTTATTAACTTGTTAATTTTATTTGACAGATTACAATTATTATTGGATTTCACACCGAGACAATTAAATTTGGTTAATTGAGATATTGGGATCTAGTATTTTTTATGGTCAAGTGTATATATTATATATATGACTGTATATATATATACATATATATCTGTAGTTTGGAGACGATGAGTTTGGGCACATGCTGGTGGATATCTTGAAGAAGAATGGGGTAAAAACCGAAGGAGTCTGTTTCGATCCCGAAGCGCGGACAGCACTAGCATTCGTGACGCTGAAGAAGGATGGAGAGAGGGAGTTTATGTTTTACAGAAACCCTAGTGCTGATATGTTGTTGAAGGAATCTGAGCTGAATATGAATATGATAAAGCAGGCGAAGATCTTCCACTACGGATCCATCAGTCTGATTTCAGAGCCGTGCCGATCCGCTCACTTGGCCGCCATGAAAGCTGCTAAGAGTGCTGGTGTGATGCTTTCTTATGATCCTAATGTACGCTTGCCTCTCTGGCCATCTCCTCAGGCTGCCAAAGATGGGATCATGAGCATCTGGAAAGAAGCTGATTTTATCAAGGTAGATTAACCCTTTCTTCTTCTTTTTTTTTTTTTGTTTTATTTATTTGAAAAGAAATTAACAGGATGCAATTATTCATGTCAATTTAGAAAGTAAACCTTTTTTTTTTTTTTAATTTATGCATATATATGTTATGTATATATGTATGCATGTATAGGTAAGCGACGACGAGGTACAGTTCCTGACTGATAAAGATTCTGACAAGGAAGATGTTGTTTTATCCCTGTGGCATGATAAGCTCAAGCTGCTGGTTGTAACTGATGGAAGCAAGGGTTGCAGATATTTCACCAAGGTATAACTTATACATATATATAATTTTCATATTCATTCAATATATACATGTTAATTTATGCTCTGAAAAATTTTAAGAGATAGATTAGATTTAGATAATATGTTGTTGGAAATTAGAGAAAGAAAAAAGAGAGAGATTAATAGAGGGACTCAATTTTTTAATTTGTTATTGTTCATATAAATATTCAAATACACGAAGTGTTCTTGAATATATTAACTATAATTAAATTTAATTTACGAATCATAAATAAGTATAATATATAAATTATTTAGAAATTTTTTTTAAAAATATATTAATTACCATATTCACAATTTATATTTAACTTAATTCTCCTAATAATATCAGACAAAGATTTCGACCTGAGTGTGTGTATCTATATATATCTATATATATATATACATATACATATATATATGTGTGTAGACAGAAGAATAGAGGATGGTGATTAATTATTTGTAAAATTATGGAACTTATAGAATTAAATAATCTTATATATATCATTATATTTTGTATAATATTAGATATCAAAATCTAACAAAGGATATTGTGGTATGATCAGAATTTCAAAGGAAGAGTGGCGGGGTTTTCTGTAAAACCAGTTGACACAACTGGAGCTGGTGATGCTTTTGTTGGTGCTCTCCTGGTGTCTGTGGCCAACGATCCTTCCATGTTTGATGTAAATCTCTTACTTAAACTTTTCGTTTGCATAAATCTTGAAATTAACAGAGGCCGAGATATATAAGTAGGAAAATAATATTTTTTGAATAAAAGTTAATATATTTCAATAATTAATAAAATGTATGTATATATATATATATATATATATAGAAAGTAATTTATTCGTTACGATATAGGACGAAGTGAAATTGAGGGAAGCTCTATCATTCGCAAATGCATGTGGAGCATTATGCACAATCCAGAGGGGAGCAATCCCGGCACTTCCTTCGATCTCCGACGCACTTCAACTCATCAACTCAGCCCCTCGCTAGCGTCAAATTAACTCATTCATATTCTTTTTTTTATATCCATTTCAATAATTTGCTTTGTATTTATTTTTCTTGTCTTTTGGTCACGGAACAATTAGTTCGTATTACGTCATCAATAATAGTTAAAATATGATTTGATCTTTATAAAAATATATTTTCATGAGCAATCCAAAATTATATATCAATGTTCGATAACGTACCAAAAAATTTCCATATATATATATATATATATATATATATGTATTATGGGTAGGCACATTCTTTGAGTGGGAGAGTTTGGCAAGAAAGCACATCTTGCTTTTTCCTTACAAAGATTCTTCAACGTTTCGCAGGAGAGAGTACTCAAGTGATTGATTATAAGTAGCATCATCATTGATGAGAATTCTAACCCAGTGATATATATACATACATACATACATATATATATATATATATAAGAAAAGAAAATGGAGGAGAAGATGGGAAGAAAATCACCTCTGATAGTATCATTTGGAGAAATGCTGATAGATTTTGTGCCTGACAAAGCAGGTCTTTCCTTGGCCGACTCCACCGGATTTCTCAAAGCACCTGGCGGTGCACCTGCTAATGTCGCTTGTGCCATTAGTAAGCTACAGGGCAACTCCGCCTTCATCGGCAAGGTCACATATACATAGATACATATATATATATATTCTTCCTTATTATCACACGCATATATTTTCACGTGTGTAACACAAATTGTTTAGCTGATATAAAGGAAAAAGGTAAGATCTCGGTTAATGCTTGTTATTTGTGTAAGAGGGTATCCAGTGGTGTACAAGCTTTAAACTATGGTTTATGGGCTTTTAAGCGCAGGTTCGGTGATGACAGGACGAAATTTGGGCATGGAAGAGTGTTAGAGGAAGGAAGAAGCTATTGGATTTAATTCCACTTACCATATTTTGGGTTTTATGGAAGAAGAGGAATAAAAAAGTTTTTTTATGGGGATGATTTTGACATATTTAAGAATAGATGATTCTAAATTTTTAATTTTTTATTAATGAATTATTCTCTCATAAGAAAAAAATTATGAGATTTTATTAATACATTAATAGATATATAAATATGTTATATCTAAGTTTAGTATTCTCGTAATATTGATGTTAATATTTTACTTTATATTTTATATATTTTTTTAAAATTATTTAATTAAATAGTTCATATATATTTTTTTTTATAAAAAATTATAAATTCGAAAGAATTGTTTTCCTATATTTTTATTTAAAAATTATTTTCGATTGTCATGATTAATATCCCTATTATATATTTCTATCAGTCTCTATCACTCAATTATATTAAAAAATTTAACATATGCGGGTTTATGCATACATATATGATTATTACTACATTATATACGGATGCTGATTACAGCAGTGTCCATGTGTATATATAGCTTGGAGACGACGAGTTTGGACAGATGCTGGTAGATATACTGAAGAAGAATGGTGTAAACACTGATGGAGTTTGCTTTGATGGTGAGGCGAGGACTGCATTAGCATTTGTGACGCTGAAGAAGAATGGCGAGAGAGAATTCGCGTTTTACAGAAACCCTAGTGCAGATATGTTGATGAAAGAATCAGAACTGAACATGGGTCTGATCAGAGCCGCCAAGATCTTCCATTACGGATCCATAAGCTTGATATCCGAGCCTTGTAGATCAGCTCACTTGTCAGCAATGGATGCCGCCAAGGCTGCCGGCGCTTGGCTCTCATATGACCCCAATGTGCGCCTGCCTCTCTGGCCTTCTCCTCAGTATGCAAGAGACGCCATCTTCAGCATCTGGACTTACGCAGATATCATCAAGGTTAGTGATGATGAAGTTGCATTCCTCACTGAAGGAGATCCCGAAAATGATGATGTTGTCAGGTCCCTGTGGTATGATACACTCAAATTACTTGTAGTAACAGATGGAGAGAAGGGTTGCAGGTACATCACTAAGGTATATATACACACACACACACACACACACATCAACACAACCCATATTCTAAATTTGTAATGCATGCCCTGGATTCCAGATTTACCGTGCCAATAAAGTTTGATACCCATGTAATTGATGCTCAAAGGTTCATCTCAAGTTACAGTGCTGATCAAGTGTTTTGAATTCTTATAATTATGAATATGTATGTATATATACATATTTGGGAAAGGATTAAGTGTGTGTTTTTAATTAAACTGCAGGATTTCAAGGGAAGGGTGAAAGGATTCTCCGTGAAAACAATAGATACAACCGGAGCCGGGGATGCTTTTGTTGGCGCACTTCTGGTCTATTTGGCCCAAGATCCTACCATCGTGGAGGTGCCCAATTTTAATTGAAAATTTTTGAAGTAATTCAGGAATATATATAAATGAATTTACAGATTAATATATATTTGTTCTTAATAATTAATATTAATTAAACAAATTTATATGGGTATTTGTGTTGTGGACAGAATGAGGAGAAACTGATGGAGGCTTTAACATTTGCAAATGCATGTGGAGCAATTTCTACAACTCAAAAGGGAGCAATTCCAGCTCTTCCAACCATTTCCGATGCTCTTCAGCTTATTAATTCCAAGCCCAGAGCCTCAAATTATTTCACCAGAACATTCATGCTTTTTCTTGTTTCCTCTGTTTTAATTTCAATTTTATTTTCTTTTATCTTTGGCCATAACAAAACATAGTTTTGTGCTTTAATGGCTGATCTTCTTCGCATTTGATTCTCCATTTGGTAATATTTAATAAATTTTAAGGATACAGGGAAGTTATATATAAAAATGTAACTATATATAAAAACAATGTAATGATTTATAGAAAATAATTTATCTCGATTACATTAAAAAAAATGCAATATGTATTAGAAAAAATAATATATATTAGCTTCTATTTGGTTTGTGCTTCTAGCATCTTGAACCCCAACGTTGGTGGATACGAACGTTAGCACAACATTTTTAACTAGTAAAACAGATAAATATTAAATATGCAACGAAATTACACTTTAATATATATTCCTTGTGACTGAATAATTATTTGTTCACACATAA